GGTTTTTAATGCAAGCCACTTTGAGTCTCCTTACTGGAGAGAAAAGCAGGGCATAAATAATAGTAACACTAATCATGAAGGAGGAGGAGGAGGAGGAGGAGGAGGAGGAGGAGGAGGAGGAGGAGAAAAGGAGAAGGAGAAAAGGAGAAGGAGAAAAGGAGAAGGAGAAAAGGAGAAGGAGAAGGAGAAAAGGAGAAGGAGAAAAGGAGAAGGAGAGAAGGAGAAAAGGAGAAGGAGAAGGAGAAGGAGAAAAGGAGAAGGAGAAAAGGAGAAGGAGAAGGAAAGAAGCCAGTCAAGGTGGTCTCTGTGGTGATCGGCACACTGGGTGCAGTGCCTAAAGGCCTTGGCCTGCACTTAAACACAATCGGTGCTGACAAAATTACCATCTGCCAGCTGCAGAAGGCTACCTTACTGGGATCTGCACACATTATTCGCCAATACATCACACAGTCCTAGACACTTGGGAAGTGTCCGACATGTGATCCAATACAATAGCCAGTAGAGTGTCTGCTGTGGACTCATCTTGTTGTGTTCACAATAATAATAATAATAATAATAATAATAATAATAATAATAATAATAATAATTTAAATACTGATTTCTGAGACTCAGGGGTCTTCCAGACAGAAGTCTTGGAAAAGCTAGTTTTAGGACTATAACTTCCAGGCACTTTCAGCTACCAAACTCAGGAAGTCATATCCTAAATAAATTACTTTTCCAGTTTGTGTAGTGCTATTCCTAACACTCCAAAGCTGTTCAGCAGCCTGCCTTTCCCCCTTAATGGATGTTCTTCCTGCCTGAAAAGAAACACAGCAGAAGTAGTGGGAAAAACACCAAAAGGCTGCAAACTGAGAACACCATTTGGGTCCCCATAAAAGCCTATGAACAAAGCAATACAGTTGCACAATAAGAACCACATCCAGAAGCTGCCTTGATATGCTCGAGGAAAGGAAGTTAATTGTTTGACCACCAAGGGAAACAGGCACTGGATATACTATTTTATTACTTTTTCTGAGAATTAGCTTTTGTCCCACTTTCCCGCAGTATTAATTTCAATTACAACTACTCCAGGATGGTTCTCTCGTTTGGATCCTAGCTTTTGCAAAACATTTCTCTGTGTTTCTAATCAAATGTTCTTTTTTGTCTTTTTTTTGCATTATGTTTTTATTTTACATTGACCTCAGTTGAGTTTGCAAAACATTCAAGGAAACAGCCATATTAATCTATTGTCGAAGGCTTTCATGGAGCCATTTTGAAGTCTCTACCTCACTACCTCTGAGGATGCTTGCCATAGATGCAGGCGAAACATCAGGAGAAAATGCCTCTAGAACATGGCCATATAGCCCGGAAAAACCTACAACAACCCAGCCATATTAATCCTTAGCACCACAAGAATTCTGGGGTTTGTCAGAATCTTTTGGGGGCCTTTGATGGAAAGCTGAACTCGTGGCACATTTGGGGCTGCTGTAGATTTCACTAATATCATTGGAAGTATGTGGATAAGCAATAGCAGAGTTTAGTCAAGATGGCAGAAGTTATTAAAGTTTGGAACAGGCTGCAGCATTTTACTTGTGCCTGAACGTACTGGGAAGAGTAAGATTCTGCTGCGTTAACTGGGTGCAAATGCCACTTTGAACCCAGTTTGCAATGACTCATGTAAGCTGAGGACAAAGGTGGAAAATGAGAGAAGGAGAGAAAAACGTTATTGCCTTGCCACTAAGAGAAGGCCGACCCAAGTGAGGTTTTAACTCTTCTCAGGGAGATTCATGACTTTCCCAAAATGGTGGCGAATGCTGTTTTCCAAAAGGTTATGGAGATTTCCATTTCCCAAAAGGTTACGGCATCATTTTCCCAAGAGGTTATGATTTCTAACAAGATCATGCCTTTCCAAAGCTCATACTTTCTTCAAAATATAAATGCATGACAATATTAATATTTTTAAAAATCCATTAAATATTAAAATGCTTTCAAACATTTGCAAAAGGGAATGTGGAAAGTGTGACAACCATGGCAAACAGAATGTCTTAGCCAGACATTTCAGGAGGAAGAACTGGAGGCTCTCCAGCAAAAGGACTTGAGGACCTAAAATGTGAACCCTCGTCGCCCCCAAAAACTCTCTGGGTGAATGTTTCGGCTGTACATCCCGTCCCTATCTTTGCTTCCCAGAGGAAAGAAGGGCAGAAAGAGTGGAAATGTCAACGGGGGAACATGTGTGCCACTGCCAGGGGCTTTTCCATCCCCACTTTCCAAAATGATTCCAAACGAATCCCAGCTGTGTTTGGAGGAAACTTTTTGTCTCCCGAAGAGAAAATGAGAATGGAGCCTTTCCAGGCTTTCGATCCAAACGAGCAAAACAGGCCTGAGTCTCTCTGCATTTCTCCTCCAAGAACACTGGGATGAAGTTCCATCTAGCACTTTGTACCGACATGTTATTCATTATCCTCACCATGTTGGAAATATGGCTGTGACATTGAAGCTGGGGTGGAAATGGGGAGGAGGAAGCTGTCTGTCTCCGGAACATTAATTAATTTCTTTAAAGTCTTCTAACTTGAAAACTTTTTCTTTCGTAATCCTCGATAAGTATCGTTTTCATGCAGCATGCAAACAGTTCACTTATGCTCATAGACTCTCTTTGGCTTATTACGGTGCGCTAAAAATACAGATCAGCACTCAAACACAGAAAGCAGAAGTAGTCGTGTCGGTCAGAAGTCAACATTTCATAATCCTTGTTCACAGTATCAAACATTTTGCAGATGAAAACTGAGATGGATGTACTTATTTAGGTGATCCCTCATTGTCCAAGTAGGATAGTCTTCCAGGGTCAGTGTATTGGTGGGTCCATAGGTGACAGTGAAGCCCTATTCTTGATCTGCATGTTCTCCTGCAGTGAGGACATTGGTTTCCAGGTGGAAGGAGGTCTCAGTCGGGGTTGGCTTGACGCGCCTTCCTCTTGGCATGTTTCTCTCTTTCACCCTCCATTCGTGCCTCTTCAAATTCTACAGCACTGCTGGTCACAGCTGACCTCCAGCTGGAGTGCTCAAGAGCCAAGGCTTCCCAGTTCTCAGTGTCTATGCCACAGTTTTTAAGGTTGGCTTTCAGCCCATCTTTAAATCTCTTTTCCTGCCCATCAGCACTCCATTTTCCATTCTTGAGTTCGGAGTAGAGCAACTGCTTTGGGAGACGGTGATAGGGCATTAGGACAACGTGGCCGGTCCAGCGGAGTAGATGGCAGAGGACCATCACTTCAGTGCTTGTGGTCTTTGCTTCTTCCAGCATGCTGACATTTGTCCGCTTATCTTCCCAAGAGATTTGCAGCATTTTCCGGAGGCAGCGCTGATGGAATCATTCCAGGAGTTGCATGTGACATCTGTAGACAGTCCATGTTTCGCAGGTGTATAGTAGGGTTGGGAGAACAATGGCTTTGTAAACAAGCACATTGATATCTCTACGGATGTCCCAGTCCTCAAACACTCTCTGCTTCATTCAGAAAAAAACTGCACTCGCAGAGCTCAGGCGGTGTTGTATTTCAGTGTCAATGTTGACTTTTGTGGAGAGGTGGCTGCCAAGGTAGCAGAAATGATCAACGTTTTCTAATGTTACACCATTAAGCTGTATTTCTGGCATTGGAGAGGGATTGGCTGGTGACGGCTGGAAGAGCACTTTGGACGGATGTAGTCATGTATCATCAGACTGATCAAGATGGAAAAAGTTATGAATGAGGAAGTAAACACAATGTCAGAGAAGGTGCAGCAGTTTGCTTTTGCCCGAGTCTACTGGGAAAGGCATGATGCAATCCTCTCTGCCCTGAAGCTAATGGAATGCAAGCTTTTTGTGACTTTGAATTTACTTTAAAGTAAACCAATTTAAAAAGGCCTGTAATAACTCACTATGAGAAAAAGTGGTTAACAGGATCTCTCACTATGAACAATCGTGGAGATTAAGATCCTCCGGGGAGGTCCTGCTTTCCGTCCCGGTCCCGCCATTGTCACAGGCACGATTGGTGGGGACGAGAGACAGGGCCTTCTCGGTGATTGCTCCCTGGTTATGGAACTCCCTTCCTGGTGAGATCAGGTCAGCCCCCTCTCTCCTGTCCTTTAGAAGTATGGTAAAAACTTGGCTGTGGGACCAAGCTTTCGGGGCAGGGCAATAAAGCGGCAATAGGAAAGATTACCAGGCCAATTAGATTTGACGTGGATGACTAGGACGGTTTTAAATGGTGGTACTTAAAATTTTTGATAATTGTTTTTAAAGTTTATGTATGTTTATAAGAATTTGTGTCCCGGCATTGAATGCTTGCCGTATATATGCTGTACTCCGCCCTGAGACCCCTTCGGGGTGAGAAGGGCGGAATAAATAAATAAATAATGGTGACCCAGCCTATTTGTCACAGAGGATGCATACACACCGTAAAATTAATGGATTGATATGGACTTTGTCATCCATGGCTCAATGTTATGGAATCATAGGAGCTGTCGTTTGGTGAGGAACCAGCACTCTTTGGTAGAGAAGGCTAAAGACATTCTCAAGCTCCAACTCCCATAATATCACGCCCTTGAGCCACAGCATGTTTTTGTGTGTGTGTGTGTCAAGAGCAACTTGAGAAACTGCAAGTTGTTACTAGTGTGAGAGAATTGGCTGTCTGCAAGGACGTTGCCCAGGGGATGCCCGGATGTTTGGATGTTTTACCATACTATGGGAGGCTTCTCTCATGACCCCACATGAGAAGCTAGAGCTGAGATGGGAGCTCACCCCGCTCCCCAGATCTGAACCTCCAACCTGTCGGTCAGCAGTCCCACTGTGACACTGGGGGCAGTTAAAGTGGTCTCCAATAGCATTCATTCTACAATGTAGATGCACCTTAGTTGGTCTCTGATGGCTATCAGTAGTAGTGTTGGTTTATTTTCTTCAAGGATTCAGATCTCAAGGCCATTGCTGGTCAACCATTGGTTCTTTGGGGCAATAGCCTCCATGGGAATCTGTTGGTTCTTGACCCAACGTACCTTCCCCAAGCGTCTTCCCAAGGGCCACTTTGTGGCGGTCAATCATCACATCTCGCAACTTCTCCTTCAGCTCCTCGCTGATGCCCAGACCATTCACTGCAAGAGATAATAAGGATGTCAGGGCACATTGTTAAACAGAAATAAAGAAGGGAACAAATGCTGAAATCTTATTGGTTGCTCAGTCAGAAACACTTAGGACTCAAGTAAAAGATCTGGGGAGCAGAGGATTTGGAAATTCTTGGGATACCCACAGAACTTCAAAAATAATAATAATAAGAATGTTGATATTTTTATTAGCAATTTTACTAACTGAGTCTGTAATGCTAGAACAGTATAATTTTTACTCCTTTCACTACACTCTGTAATTGGGGGATCAATTCCTTAATGCGTTAGCATGTTCATATTTTGGTCAGTTATTGGTATTTAAGGAGATGGATTTGATAGTTGGCCTTCACTTTAGCTTGGTTTAGTCTTGGGTTTCTTCTAGTTTGATATGTTTGTGTATGTATTTCATATATGCAGCAAAAGCCTATGGGAATGCAATCCTGAAAGTACCCTAAAGCAGCGTTTCTCAACCTTCCTAATGCCGTGACCCCTTAATAAATGTTGTGGTGACCCCCAACCAAGCTGTTGGTGACCCCCAACCTAATGTTGTGGTGACCCCCAACCATCAAATGATTTTCACTGCTACTTCATAACTGTAATTTTGCTACTGTTACGAATTGTAACAGTAAATATCTGATATGCAGGATGTATTGGACCAAATTTGACACAAATATTCGAGTTGTAGTTGCTGGGATTTATAGTTCGCCTACAATCAAAGAGCATTCTGAACTCCACCAACAATGGGACTGAACCAAACTTGGCACACAGAACTCCCATAACCATCGGAAAATACTGGAAGGCTTTCATGGGCATTGAACTTGAGTTTGGGAGATGTAGTTCACCTACATCCAGAGAGCCCCGTGGACTCAAACAATGATGGATCTGGACCAAACTCGACATGAATCCTCAACATGCCCAAATGTGAACACCAGTGGAGTTTGGGGGAAATAGACCTTGACATTTGGGAGTTGTAGTTGTTGGAATTTATAGTTCACCTACAATCAAAAAGCATTCCGAACCCCACCAATGATAGAATTGGGCGAAACTTCCCATACAGAACCTCCATGACCAACAGAAAACACAGTTTTCTGATGGTCTTTGGTGACCCCTCTGTGACCTCCACAGGGGTCCCGACCCCCAGGTTGAGAAACGCTGACCTAAAGGAACAGAAAAGTATTTAGGTTTCTTAATTACATTGAGATGAAGGCTTGCTCTGGAGGACCTAGGAAATCCCTAGAGTTGTAGTTCCTCTAGGAATTCTCTAGAGCAGACATGGGCAAACTTCAGCCCTCCATGTGTTTTGGACTTCAACTCCACAACCTACCTAGGAATTGTCTGAGTTCATGTCCAAAACACCTGGAGGGCCAAAGTTTGCCCATGCCTGCTCTAGACCCTTCTAGGCAATTCTAGTCCCATCTACACTGCCATATGATGTAGTTTCATAATGCAGTTTAACTGCATTGAACTGCATTCTGTCATAAAATGTGAGCTCTCAGTGTGCAAGCTCCCAACAACTGGCCAGCCAGCATCCTTTTCATCTTCTGCTACTGCTGATAGGATCTCCCAAACCCTGATTGGCTTCCAGACAAATTTTACGATTGGCCGAGAGCCCTCTATAAGGCTTTTCAAGTCTGGGCCAATCCTCCCACTCTTGGGTTTGTCTCTCATCGGTCAAGAACAAAGCCAAGAAGAAGGGGCTTCCCCACCACAGACAGGGCTCTCCCGACCCAAGGCTCTGATCTCTCCTAAACTGGCTGCTTGCCTTGGAGGTTGACTTCCCACTCAACACAATATGCCTTGCCTCAAAAACAGCTTGGATTTGCACTGCACGGGAAACAGTTGCTCTACATCAGTGGTTCCCAACCTTTATTTTTATTTTTTTTTTGACCAGGGACCACTTGAACAGGGACCAACATTAGTACCAAAAGGGTTCCAAATCAGTTTTTGGTCAACTTTAGATTTGGTTTGGTTATTTGGGGTGCTGATTCAGAAAAYTGCAGTGGACAGACAACATCAGCTCTCGTTTCTGATACAGAAAACATATGCCATCCAGTAGTTGCCATCTGCTCACCCACAGAAAACCATATTGAATAATCTAGAGCTGATGTGGTAGTAGCAATCTTTCATGGGTAGTCAGCCTCTCCCCTCCCGACATCCCCGTTGCCTCAGCACTATAAGAGGTGGTGGAGACGGGAGTGTTTCTTGCTGGATCTTGACTGTCATAGAGATACAGATCAAGATTCAGCAAGAAATTCTCCCACCACCATTACAGGGCAATTCTCAATATGTAGACTCCTATGGGAGGGTCTTTGCCTGTACCTCATGAAATCTGATCTGGCCATGGTGATCCATGCCCGTACCTCATGAAATCTGATCTGGCCATGGTGGTCCATGCCCGTACCTCATGAAATCTGATCTGGCCATGGTGGTCCATGCCCGTACTTCATGAAATCTGATCTGGCCATGGTGGGCCATGCCTGTACCTTGTGAAATCTGATCTGGCCATGGTGGTCCATGCCCGGACCTCATGAAATCTGATCTGGCCATGGTGGTCCATGCCCATACCTCATGAAATCTGATCTGGCCATGGTGGTCCATGCCCATACCTCATGAAATCTGATCTGGCCATGGTGGTCCATGCCTGTACCTCATGAAATCTGATCTAGCCATGGTGGTCCATGCCCGTACCTCATGAAATCTGATCTGGCCATGGTGGTCTATGTCCGTACCTCGTGAAATCTGATCTGGCCATGGTGGTCCATGCCCTAGTCACCTCTAGGTTGGGTTACTGCAATGTGCTCTACTTGGGGTTGCCCTTGAAGACGGCCCAGAAACTACAGTTGGTCCAGAAATCTGTAGCCAGGCTACACAGGAGCTGGTTACAGAGAGCGGTCAACCCTTCTGTTTAAACAGTTTCTGGTCCCAATTCAAGATGCAGGTCATCAACTATAAAGCCCTAAACGGTTCGGGACCTGATTATCTTCACGATCGCATCTTCCCCTATGAACTAGTGCGTACCTTGAGATCTTCTGGGGAGGTACTGCTCTCTCTCCCCCCACCGTCACATGCACGGTTGATGGGGACGAGGGAGAGAGCCTTCTTGGTGGTGGCCCCCCCGGTTCTGGAACTCCCTCCCTAGGGAGATCAGACAGGCTCCCACCTTGTCCTCATTTTGGAGTCAACTAAAAACCTAGATGTTCCGGTGCGCTTTTGACTAAGCAGCTCACCAGTAACTTTCTTGTCCCTACTTGAAGTAGGACATATGCCATTTTACACTGGCATATGTCCCACCTCAACATGTGCTTGACAGTATTTCCTGTGCAGTTTACTGTATTGTTGCACTTTCCTGCGCTCCTGTAAAAATGTATTGCACTCATTGATWCTGTACCTTAGCTATGTTTCTTCCAGCCTTATTGTTTTTATATTGCTTTCAATGGTGTTGTTATTTGTTTTATCTGATGTTTTAATTGGTTAAAGTGTTTTACATGTGTGTTTTAATTGTAATCTTGGGCATGTCCCTTGTAAGCCGTCCCGCGTTCCCTAGGGGAGATGGTTGGCGGGGTATAAAAATAAAATTTATTATTATTATTATTATTATTATTATTATTATTATTATTATTATTAACCCATGCTCATTTCCAAACATTTGAYGTTTCCTGTTAGGTCTCACTTTTTTCTGGTTCTTCTGCCTTCCTTTTCATCCATTACACACCATTGGACAAATGTGTTCCAGACAGGTGTGAAAGAGGAGTGTGCTTCATGCATGATACTCACGTGTGGCTTCAGTGGTGCGGCGGCTATAGGATTTGCGGACTCGATAGTGAACCACCAGCTCCCCTTGCTCCATACTGGGTTCAAAGGCTTCCCTAAGGAATGAACGGACATAAAAGAAAGACCATAAAGCAGAAGAACCACCCTACTGATACCCATCAAGTTGACCCTATCATAGCCTGGCTTTGCTAGAGAGCTGTCTCATGGATTCCTGCTTACCCATAGCGGGTTTCCTTCCTCCTCATCCGTGCCAAGAAGAAGGTGATGAAAGTGGCCGCGGCAATGGTTGCAGCTATGGCAATCACCACATACCACCAGTGCCAGGAGAAGGCAGGCGTGGAGATCCCTACTATGGAGAAGAATGCCAGACGTTAATGGGCAGAGTTGGGTCAGCAACCATCTCACATTTAATGCAAGTCTTTGATTATTTTGTTGTTCCCTAAATGAGTAGAAATACAAGTCAGCCACCCATATTCCCTGAGTTTAGAGGCATAGGACCCCTTTAAAAGCAGAGCTAGGCATGGAATTGCGCTGGAGGACCTAGAGATACTTAGAGAAGGGTTCTCTCTAGATATCTCCAGATCCTCCTGGAAGTTGACCACCAAGTTACACCAGAGAGAACATTTCTCCTTTTCCTAAGGAAAATCGAGAAAGAATCAAAACCACAAAAGTAAAAACCACAAATCCAGAGGAACCACTGTGTTTCTATATTTTTCTCCATGTTGCAGATGAAACAAATATGTCTGCACAATTTCCACCTGGCATTTGCAGATCCCAATGAGTTCAGGGAACTTATTCTGTGCAAAAAAATACATATGTGGGTTTCCTTGTCGGGAAAAGAAAATACGGTTTTGTGTAAACACCATTCTTGAACCCCAAAATCACGTGTTTTTGGAAACGGTTTGCAAAAACATCAATATAGGTCAAAGACACCAACTTCTGTACAAACCCCGCTGCTTCAGGAACAAATGTTTTTGCACAAAAACTGTATTTTTGTGCTTCTAGAAAGTGTTCCCCCACTACAAAATATGTTTTGGGTGGAGATTTTATATATATATATATATATATATATATATATATATATGAATGATATGTGTAACAACCTCCCTCTTCCCTCCCCATTTATGCACAGAATAAGTTCTCAAAAGACTTGGAGAAGTGGAAACAGCAAGTGAAAATTGCGCAAGGAAAATGCACAAACCTCATAACCTCTGAGGATACCTGCCATAGATGTAGGCGAAATGTCAGGAAAGAATGCTTCTGGAAAATGGCCATACAGCCCAGAAAACATGCAACAACCCAAAGTGCATGAAGTTTGTTATTCTTCCTCACCAGTTTTTCTGAGTGTTACTTTTTTCCAGCTGTCAAATGAATAGTGGCCATTCCCACACTTACAGTTCCTTTTTCCTATCACTACTTAATACAGAAAGAGATCCAGTGACTTAACCCAGGGCCAGATATTCCTCCGTAACGTGAAAAACTCAGGATTGCATAGAGTAGAACTGTGAAAGTTAAAGTGGAATAATTGTGTAGTGTGAAAGGGCCTCATACATACACATGTATACAAGGAATTGGATTGTTTTAGCACAGTGGTTTCCAGCTCCCAGAATTCTTGACCATTGGGCCAAACATCTGGAGGAGCAAAGGTTGGGAATCACATTTCTAGAATATAAACATCTCATTTCTTGATACTTTCCATCCAAAATCCAGTCCATTTCTGGTTCTTAATAGAGCATTAGATTCTACAGCTCACCTGACAAAGGTTCCGGAAGATTTTCACCTGCCAGAAGAGAAAAACAAGTCAGAAATTATTTGTATGCGGATTCTAGTTGAACCAAACACAGGGGCCAGTCTTCTAAGAAACTGAATGAAATCCAGGCCACTTTCAGGGTTCATCAAAGAGAATCAAAACATCTAAATGGCAAATCTGGGGTCCTATTTTAGAGCTGGCTTTAGGCTCCATGACAATCCAAGGCTCCAAAGCCACAACAAGTGGGATCGAAATGAAGACCAGAGGATCTTAACATGATCAAAGCCAGGTGTGGGTTCTTGCGTTGCCAGGCTCAGAATCATTCGCAGAGAGCGGAAATCAAGGGCTGGATCCAGGAACAACAACAACCTAGAACTCAAAAGCTGCTTTGGGAAAAAGTGCCAGAACTTAATCCAGGAATATTGAAACCAGTTTGGAACTGTTTTGCTAAAAAGCATGGATTTTGGTAGCTAAATAGCCTGCTCCCCCAATATATATCTGATGCTTCTTTTATGTGCCAAAATGAAAATTTTATTTATTTTTAATAGTGCTTTTAAGTGTTTCCATCACTCCTGGTCCAAACCTTTGGACTCCTTGTTTAACAATAAAGCAAGCTTTTGATTTATTTGTTTGGATTCTGAGCTCATCCAGGCAAACTCATGTAGTGCTTTACAGTTTAATGCATCTTCTGCAAATCTCTCCTGGTTATTAAGGGGGAAAGTCAACAAATATGATGAAAAATTCTACCATTTTGACTTGAAACTTTTAACACTCCTCTTCCAGAAAGACTCAGCAATAACAATGAGAAATTGGAGAATGGCACAGAGGCAATGAGAAGCAGAAGGACAATGCCGTCACTGCCTGGGGCTATAGTTCTTAGTGAAAGAAACTTGGACGTGACATCTTTTCCCCAGGGGATTGCTTCTTGCCTTCCTTTAGAGAACTGGAACTCTCAAGGATCAAGACAAGGAGTTTTCCAGCTGAGAAACTTTCCAAGTTCCTTCTTTCTCAATGGCTATGAAGTCGGAACATTCACAACCCCAGTCCAATGACCTATATTGAAGGCACAAAGTCTTCCTCTTGATGCCAAAGGACTGGTTTGAAGGTGCTTAAGATTCTTCAGCATCGTCCAGGTGAGCTGGGCATGAAGTATGAATCTTAAGAGTACAAACTTAAGAATTGGTGGTAAGAGATGACTTGACTAAGGGCAAGCCTTTCTCACGTCCATCTGTTGAGTTGTTTGATGGTGGAATGAAAAAGAAAGCACTGCCCACCTCCATAGGAAGGGGTGGAGTCAAACAATTGAGCTGGGGGAGCAATTCAACCAATGCAAAACAACATTAATAGAAAGCTGTAGATAACCAAACAATTCAACTATATATTTACAAACAAGTGGCACCAGGCACGCCGTCGCAAGGACATCTGAAGGCACAAGGTTGGGAGTGAGAAAATTGGACACCCTAAAATTACCAAAATGAGTCTCTTTTGGTAAAGAAAAAGTGGGGAATAATAACAGTAACAAAAAAATACAACTTCATAATCTATGTTGTTGTTTATTCATTGAGTCCTTTCCGGCTCTTTGTGACCTCCTGGACCTCCTTGTCATAGAATCATAGAGTTGGAAGAGACCTCGTGGGCCATCCAGTTCAACCCCCTGCCAAGAAGCAGGAAAATTACATTCAAAGCACCCCCGACAGATGGCCATCCAGCCTCTGTTTAAAAGCCTCCAAAGAAGGAGCCTCCACCACACTCCGGGGCATAGAGTTCCGCTGTGGCCACCCCCAGCTCCTTCAAGTCAAGCCAGTCACTTCAAGGATACCATCCATCCATCTTGCCTTTTCGACCCCTCTTCCTTTTTCCTTCCATTTTCCTCAGCATCATTGTCTTCCCCAAGCTTTCTCAACTTCTCATTATGTGGCTAAAGTACTTCATCTTTGCCTCTAATATCACAGTACTTTCTGCTGGTCATTTCTTACCAAAACCGGGGGAAGAAATCATGATGGCCCTGCTCCACGGCCCATCGCCTGCTTGTGTGTAGGCTGCAACCCGCACCGTCAGGTTCTGCCCCGTTGAGTTGAGCGTCAGAACGGTTTCATTGGTCAGACCCACATCCACAACCACCTGATGGGAAAAGATTCAAATTTGTCAAGTAGGAGTGATAAGGCAGATAGTTAAATTGGGAACTGGGTTCTACCTCTAATGAGAAGTCACTGACCTCGGGTGAGTCGTCACTCTGACAAACCAGCTTGTATCCCCGCAAGATCCCATTGATGTCGCCCCGTGGTTCTTCCCACTGGATGACGGTGCAGGTGCCATTTTGTGTAGCCATAATATTTGATGGTGCAGCTGTGGGTACTAACATGAAAATGAGATGTTACTCTACAGCACATGTGTCAAGCTCAAGACCTGTGGCGCAAATTTGGTTTACCATGTCATTTTATGTAGCCCTCCTGTTCTGTTGCACGCTGGGCCTGTAAAGAATTTCCTTTAGAACAGGACGTGCAACCTTTGCCCAGCGGGAAGCGCAAGGAGAAGTTCTCAGAGGTTTTCCACCACAAATGACCTTTAGATGGCTTTTGAAGTATAACAAAGTATTTTATTAATGAACAATCAAACAGAAACTTCTCTTGTCTTCAATAAAGCTAAACAAATGCTTCCAAGCTTTATGCAACTGGTGACTTCCTAATCTTGCCCACAAAGGACAGGCAACTGTCTTCAATAACTTCTTCTTTACTTTAAAGGAAAATCCCCTTTTTAACTTCTCCCAGGCTGACTGTAATCTAACCCTTACTGATGTGGGCTCTGCTACCGGGTCGAACTGCATCTCAAAGCACCGAGTGGACCTTAGATATTCTCCAGCTGGAGTTCTTTGGTCTTTAGGGCTGTTTTCCTGGAAATCTTTGGAGACTCTTAAGACTGTTTCCCCCCGGAAAGTCTTGATGCTCTTAAGACTGTTTCCCCCGGAAAGTCTTAAGGGTTGAAGCTTTTGTACAGGGGAAGCTTGCACACGTCCTGTACATTAGCTTTCCTTGCTGAGACTAACTAAAAATTGCTCCCTTCCCTTCCCAATTGCCCTGAGCAAGGGGCGGGACCAAAACTTAACAATGATGGACAGGTGACTTGCCTTACGACTGCAACCAAAGGAAGCCACCTATCTGCAGAGTCCCTGAAACTTAGGACTGCAAACAAACATTCAATACAAAGCAAATAAAGTTGGAGCTCCTGGTACAGCTGTACCAGAACACCTCCAGATGCTGGACTACAACTCCTGAATTCCTCTTCAATAGACATCATAATTGGAGCTGATGTGAGTTGTGATACAGTAACATCTGGAAGGCTGCAATTTGTTCTGTTTAGTAGGATAGTGGGGTTTGGATTTAGATACAGAGCTTGTTGATGCCTGATTTGAAAATGTTGTCTAACATTTCCCCAGCTTCAGAGCCACAAGAGCTGCTGGGTTGCAACTCCCATTATCCACAGACTGCATAGCAAATAATTTAAAAAAATGATGGGCATTGTTGTTGAATAACATCTAGGGACCCAAACTGGGTAAAAACTAAAGCACATCAATCACGATGTTAACAAATTATAGTTGGCTCTCTGTATCCATGGATTTTCCATCCATGGATTCAACAGCCCTTGGAAGACAATCAGAAAAAACGATGTATCCCTCAATGAAAATGAGGTTGACACCCCTGCCCTAGAAAGATGCCATACCCCCATGAATAAATGGGCACATGTCCCTTTATGGTCTTGGAGGACCTCCATCCAACCATCCATCCATCCACCCTCTTGGCTCATGATGGTGGCCAACTTTGGCACCTTTGGAGACCGTGCAGACAGTACCTTCCCTCATGTGCCTTTTCCTACTTTCTCAAAACAGAAACTCCAGCTAATTATCAGATGGGGTTCAATAATAATAATAATAATAATAATAATAATAATAATAATAATAATCAACTTTATTTATATACCGTTCTATCTCCCTGAGGGGGACTAAGGGCAGTTTCCAAGTAACATCACCAAAACACACAGAGTAAACAGCATTACATAAAATTAACACTACAACATAAGCATAAAAGTATCACAATAACACATATATATATTATTTTATTTATTTACATTATTTCTATTCCGCCCATTTCAGTCCGAAGGCGATACAGGGCGGTATACACAGTCGGCACAATTTGATGCCGAAACAAATTACATACATTGATAAAGCAAAAACATCAAGTGCAATTAAACATAAACGATAGTGCATAATAAACAATTTAAAAAGAAACTATGTTATTAAAAATAATCCTGCCTGTTCAGAGTAATTAAAAGGCCAGGCCAAGGCTAGTGCCAACTCAAAATATGAGGGGACCGGGAATTAAGTACAGTGCTATAACAGGCTAACAACAATAGCAGATACAGGTCTGTGGCTGCTCATTTCTAGGGCCTATTAGAGGGATGACCGGGGTAATAGGTAGGAAGTATAAGGCCATATTCAACAATGTTTGGGGTTGGGCTAGAACTGGTCATTCTCAAAGGCTTGGTGAAACCACCAGGTCTTTAAGCTCTTACGAAATGAGAGGAAGGATGGGACCTTTTTTATTTCCCTTGGAAGGGCGTTCCACAGGCAGGGGGCCACCACTGAGAAGGCCCTCTCTCTCATTCCCACCAACTGTACTTGTGACAGTGGTGGGAGCAAATGGAGGGCCTCCCCGGAAGATCTTAGAGTTTGCTCCGGTTCATAGAAGGAGATGTGATCGCGAAGATAGGCGAAGGACATGTGACATAGAACATTCTTGAACTCGCTATTGCCTCTTAATTGTGAAAACTCACATATTATGCCAACCATGTAGCTGCTACACAATTTCTAACCCAGATGTGGTGGCCATCCCAGTTGGTGGGGGTGGACTTCCCAATGTCATCTAGTTGGCCATTGTGGAGAAAAGGATGCTTGACAAGATATCCTTTGGTCCAACCCAGTATGGGTTCTCTTAGGAAGCCATACTGGAAGCCATATACATTGTGCACAATGCACAGCTCAGAGTCACCACCCTAAAGTCTTGATTTGTCCCATGCTACAGGAAAATTATAGACGTGTTTATGTGGAAAAATGGTCAGTTGTGTTACCAAAAGTCTCTGAAGTGAAAAGACTGACCATTTATGGCAGGCATGAGCAAGCTTGGGCTTCCTAACCAGCTGTTAGGAATTGTGGGAGTTGGAAGTCCAAAACACCTGGAGGACCCAAGTTTGCCCATGCCTCATTTAAGGTGAGGCCAGAGGCTCTTTAAGTTTCCGACAACCTGTGATCAAAACTCAGAGTGATCATGTGGTCACCTCTGAGGAAGGGGAGCCCATGGAATATCTGCAGTTGTCCATCCCTTGTCCAATCCATTACTTCATCCATGATTCTCCATCAAAATTTGGAGACCCACCTCTGTCCCCAGTTTCCAGCTCACCTCCTTCCAGGGTCTCCATAGCCACCCAGTGGGTCCATGGGGAGTTGCCTTCCCTGGAGCGACAGGAGACGCGGACCTTGTACGTGGTGAAAGGGATCAGGTCTTTCAGAGTGTGCCGGAAGGGGGGCACACGGAGGTTCTGGTTATAGAGCTGCCTGTCCGACACGGTGCTGAGGTCCTCACTGGAGCGCACAGCCTGAGGAAAGCAGGTGACAGAATGAATTTAAGGTGCAAAAGACAGGAGGAACAGCCCTGGATCTGGGGAAGCTGCCATTATGGTCAACTTGGGCTGCCATCCGAAGGATGGATCTACACTGCCCTATATACAAGGATCTGATCCCAGTATTTGCTTTATATGAGTCTCCACTGCCATATAATCTGGAATAAGCAGATATATTATTTATTTACGTATTTATATTCTGCCCTTCTCACCCCGAAGGGGACTCAGAGTGGACCACAGAACACATATACAGCAAATATGCAATGCCTTTATACACTGACAAGACAGACAACTGCACATAGATAGAGGTATATATAGGCTTTCCCATCTTCGGCATCTTGGAGGCTCGGTTACGGTCACTCCAGCTTCCCTGCTGAAGAGCTTTGTTCGTAAACTTCCTCCTTGTTCATAAACTTCCTTACCACAGTTGGCAAATCATCAGCAATTATAAGAACTATCCACCAAAAGACTGCAAGTTCGAAGCCCCGGGTTGGCATGAGCTGCCAATTGTCAGCCTAGCTCATTGTTTACCTAAGGAATTCGAAAACAGCTTTAGCTGTGATCAGAGAAATTAGGTGTTGCTAAAAGCAGGGGAGGTGTTTTACAACACCACAAAGAAAAATGCTGGGCGACCAAAAGGAAGAAGTCATGACGACTCTTCGTCATAGAGGATAGAGCAACAGCACCCCCTGAACTCGAGCCAACCTTCTATGGCACCAAAAACAGCTGGACACTGAGTCGAAACAAACCACCTCCTTCTGTTCTGTCTATCTGTGTATTGTCTATACAAAGCGGCATTGAATGTTTGCCATGTATGTGTACTATGATCTGCCCTGAGTGCCCTTCGGGGTGAGAAGGGCGGAATAGAAATAAAGTTTTATTATTATTAATTGAATTGCCGGCATTTTTCTGGCATTTCCTTATAGGTGCCTTAAATACCTCCCCGCTTTAAAATGGTACTTATTTATCTACTCACATTTGTTTTTGAACTGCTAGGTAGGCAGAAGCTGGGCTAAAGACCAGGAGCTCACCCTAACCCAGGCTTTGAACTGTCAACCTGCAAGATTTACTGCAGCTCGGGGTTAACGTGCTGTGCTAAAGGCCAACTGTTTAGTCAAAGGGTATAAATCTTGGACACTACCCACGTATGGAAAATCAGCTCATTGGGGATTGTTGGGAAACTATTCAGCATGGAGATCCTCCACCTCTATCCAGAAATTATACAGGCCACTCTTATTGTCTCAAGGCTTGGATGAGAACCCACATGAATTGTCACATATTGAAAATCCCCTCACTGCTGTCAGTTTTGTTTCTTAGTCCGTGCTTTCCCTTCCTCAGCTTTTTTCAGTTCCCCATTGGTTTGGTGGGAGGAATGTCACATTTTATGCGGTTGAGAGGGGGATTGGGAGGCTAGGCTTTTATGCGGTTGAGATGGGGGGGGGGGGATCGGATGTCCGACGGAAGCAGAAGCCGGACAGGAAATCGTTCCTAAAAATAAAACAGTTCCCCAACAGGACAGAAAATGAAAATAGCAGAGGGGCAAGACAGCCTTCCTCGAAGCAGCTAGGATTCTTGGCTAGCTTCCTTACATCAAAACTCATGCTTTTCTAAGCCTTCCTTTGCTTTCTTACCTGGATGGTGCAGAGCTCCAAAGCATATGCTCCGCTGGACCCAGGTTCCCATGACACTTCCAAGCTGCGGTCGCTGCGATACACAACGGATAGGTTGCGCGGCCGTCCAGGTACCACTGTAGAGATAAGCAAGGACAGCAAGGGTGAAGATACCACAAAAAGATGGCTACTATGTCCCAGAAAATCAAAACAGCCCTATGAGGAGCGGCTTAAAAAGCTGGGCATGTTTAGCCTGAAGAAGAGAAGGCTGAGAGGAGGCATGATAGCCATGTATAAGTATGTGAGAAGAAGTCAAAGGGAGGAGGGAGCTAATTTGTTTTCTGCTGCCCTGGAGATTAGGACAAAGAGCAATGGCTTCAAACTACCAGAAAGGAGATTCCATCTGAACATGAGGAAGAACTCTCTGCCCTGGAGTGTGGTGGAGGCTCCTTCTTTGGAAGCTTTTAAACAGAGGCTGGATGGCCATCTGTTGGGGGTGCTTTGAATGCAATTTTCCTGCTTCTTGGTAGGGGGTTGGACTGGATGGCCCATGAGATCTCTTCCAACTTTATGATTCTATGTCACAGGAAAGTGTTTATGCATATGTATTAGGGGGAGACCCCGGTGGCGCAGTGGGTTAAACCCCTGTGCCGGCAGGACTGAAGACCGACAGGTCGCAGGTTCGAATCCGGGGAGAGGCGGATGAGCTCCCTCTATCAGCTCCAGCTCCTCATGCGGGGACATGAGAGAAGCCTCCCACAAGGATGATAAAAACATCAAATCATCCAGGCGTTCCCTGGGCAACGTCCTTGCAGACGGCAAATTCTCTCACACTAGAAGCGACTTGCTCCTGACACGACCAAAAAAAAAAAATTGATGTATATATCCATGCAGTTTTGAATTGTTGCCTTTGTTAAGCCGCTTTTGAGTCTCCTTCGGGGTTGAGAAAGGCAGGATACAAGTATGGTAAATAAATAAATGTAAAACTACAACTCTCATGATCCCATAGTATTGAGCCATGAATCATAGAATCATAGTGTTGGAAGAGACCCCAAGGGCCATCTAGTCCATCCCCCCTGCCATTCAGGAAAAGCACAATCAAAGCAACCCCGACAGATGGCCATCCAGCTTCTGTTTAAAAGCTTCCAAAGAAGGAGCTTCCACTACACTCCGAGGCAGAGTTCCATTGCTTTATTTACTATACTTATATACCGCCTCTTTCAGCCCGAAGGTGACTCGAGGCGGTTTACAATCCACAATTAATGTCACCAAACACAGAGGCGGATGAGCTCCCTCTATCAGCTCCAGCTCCTCATGCGGGGAAATGAGAGAAGCCTCCCACAAGGATGATAAAACATCAAAAATCATCCGGGTGTCCCCTGGGCAATGTCCTTGCAGACGGCCAATTCTCTTACAACAGGATGCTCCTGACATGACAAAAAAGTATTAGGAATAGAAACTATATTTGCAAGTATAATATTAATTTCCAAACTCAAAAAATAGATTTCCAGATGGTCAGGAAACTTCATTGAGCAGAGACTTTGGCATAGTTTCCTCCCAGCATTCAACCATCCCAATGGAGTCCCTGGTGGCGCAATGGGTAAACCCTTGTGCCAGTAGGACTGCTGACCGAAAGGTCGGCGGTTTGACTCTGGGAAATGGGGTGAGCTCCCGTCTGTCAGCTCCAGCTTCTCATGCAGGGACATGAGAGAAGCCTCCCACAGGATGGTAAAACACCTGAGTGTCTCCCGGGCAACATCCTTGTGGACGGCCAATTCTCTCACAGCAGTTTCTCAAGTCACTCCTGACACAAAAAAGCCCCCATCCCAATATGTTGTGGAAGAATTCTGGAGGCTTTAAACTAGAGACTTGGATGGCCATCTATCGAGGGTGCTTTGATTGTGTGTTCCTGCACAGCAGGAGGTTGAACTGGATGGCTCTTTTGAGCTCTTCCAATTCTATAACACTATGATTGTAATTGCTCTGTTGCCCCTTTTAGACTGCCATATAAAATCCAGAATTCTCTTTGATTGTAGGTGAACTATAAATCCCAGTAATTACAACTCCCAAATGTCAAGGTCTATTTTCCCCAGACTCCACCAGTGTTCACATTTGGGCATATTGAGTATTTGTGCCAAGTTTGGTCCAGATCCATCATTGTTTGAGTCCACAGTGCTCTCTGGATGTAGGTGAACTACAACTCCAAAACTCAAGGTCAATGCCCACCAAACTCTTCCAGTATTTTCTGTTGGTCATTGGGAGTTCTGTGTGCCAAGTTTGGTTCAATTCCATCATTGGTGGAATTCAGAATTCTCTTTGACTGTAGGTGAACTATACATCCCAGCAACTACAACTCCCAAATAACAAAAAAAACTTTTTGGAGCAATGGTCACTCCTTGGGTTAGTAGGTGTCTTGTGTCCAAATTTGGTAGCAATTCGTCCAGTGGTTTTTGAGTTATGCTAATCCCACAAACTAACATTACATTTCTATTTATATGGATACACAAACACACACACACACACACATCTCTCACCTTTCACCACTGCTGTTCGCGACGAGCTCACGCCTTTTGCATTGTTGGCTTCGCATGAGAAGGAGGCACTGTGATTGAGACCTGAAAAACAAAAAACACAGATGCATGGACTGATATTAATTCAATATGAGTAGAACATTTCAGTAGAAATGCTTAAGGGTATTTTGATTCCAGCTTTGTGTTCAATAGTGCTTTGTGCAGTCATGCCGGCCACATGACCTTGGAGGTGTCTATGGACAACGCTGGCTCATAGGCTTAGAAATGGAGATGAGCACCATTCCCAGAGTTGGACACGACTAGACCTAATGTCAGGGGAAACATTTACCTTTACTATGAGTCCACAGCACAAAGCCATGGAAGTTCAAGTAGTGTCAAACTGTGTTAATTCTACAGTGTAGATGCAGTCTGAGAGATCTAGACATTCAGATAATAATTATTGAATGTACTGTCGAAGGTTTTCATGGCCGGAATCACTGGGTTGTTGTAGGTTTTTTCAGGCTATATGGCCATGTTCTAGAGGCATTTTCTCCTGACGTTTCGCCTGCATCTATGGCAAGCATCCTCAGAGGTAGTGAGGTCTGTTGGAACTAGGAAAAAAGGTTTATATATCTGTGGAATGACCAGGGTGGGACAAAGGACTCTTGTCTGCTGGAGCTAGGTGTGAATGTTTCAACTGACCACCTAATTAGCATTTGATGGCTTGGCAGTGCCTGGGGGAATCTTTTGTTGAGAGGTGATTAGATGTGCCTGTAATAAAATTACAACAGCAAAACAACAGAGAGTAAACAAGGACTTCTAATAATCTCTCAACAAAAGATTGCTCCAGGCACTGCCACGCCATCAAATGCTAATCAAGGTGGTCAGTTGAAACATTCACACCTAGCTCCAGCAGACAAGAGTCCTTGTTTACTCTCTGTTGTTTTACTGTTGTAATTTTATTACAGGCACATGTAATCACCTCTCAACAAAAGATTCCCCCAGGCCCTGCCAAGCCATCAAATGCTAATTAAGGTGGTCAGCTGAAACATTCACACCTAGCTCCAGCAGACAAGAGTCCTTGTTTACTCTCTGTTGTTTTACTGTTGTAATTTTATTACAGGCACATGTAATCCCCTCTCAACAAAAGATTCCCCCAGGCACTGCCAAGCCATCAAATGCTAATTAAGGTGGTCAGCTGAAACATTCACACCTAGCTCCAGCAGACAAGAGTCCTTGTTTACTCTCTGTTGTTTTACTGTTGTAATTTTATTACAGGCACATGTAATCCCCTCTCAACAAAAGATTCCCCCAGGCACTGCCAAGCCATCAAATGCTAATTAAGGTGGTCTGAAACATTCACACCTAGCTCCAGCAGACAAGAGTCCTTTGTCCCACCCTGGTCATTCCACAGATATATAAACCCTTTTTCCTAGTTCCAACAGACCTCACTACCTCTGAGGATGCTTGCCATAGATGCAGGCGAAACGTCAGGAGAAAATGCCTCTAGAACATGGCCATATAGCCCGGAAAAACCTACAACAACCCAATAATTGCTGAGTAGAAGAAATAAATTATGTCAAATTATGAATGAAAAGGGAGGAGAAGAAAGAAATCCTTTAACGACATCCACAGCTTTGCAGAGTTACCTGATCACCCGTCGTCTTGAGCCAAACATGCCCCCTTCCTTTTGAAAGCACAAAACCTTCCAAAAAACTATCATGAAAGGGACGGTAAGATAAGGAGGAAAGGAAGGATTCTCATTCTGCCTATAATCTGAGCTGCTGGAGTCAATCCAGGCGTCCTCCTCCCACGCAAATGCTTGACACAGGGGACTTCGCAAGAGTAATCTACAAGCAGCCTTGACACACACTCTGTCCAGGTTCAGCTTAAAAGATGTACAAAACCCCAAGCTAAACTCTTCTTGCACATGATTATAGCATGCCAAAATCCTCCCAGGCAAAGCTTTCTGCAGCACCAACCATCCAGTTCCCACGCAGAAGGCAAAAAGTGTACAGCAGAGTAATATCCACCCAAAAGCATCGTTCAATCTTATCCTCCATCCTTCCTGTGTGAAGAAGAATGCTCATGTTACCCAATAATATTTCTACCCTTCTCTCCCCGAGTCCTGCAAAAAGAGCTGGACATCTCCAAGGGTAATAATAATAATATTTTTGGGTTGTTGTAGGTTTTTTCGGGCTATATGGCCATGTTCTAGAGGCATTCTCTCCTGACGTTTCACCTGCATCTATGGCAAGCATCCTCAAAGGTAGTGAGGTCTGTTGGAACTAGGAAAATAATATTTTTTTATCGTGTTGAGAAACTGCAAGTTGCTTCTGGTGTGAGAGAATTGGCCATCTGCAGGGACGTTGCCTGGGGGATGCCCAGATGTGTTACCATCCTGTGGGAGGCTTCTCTCATGTCCCCCCATGGGAAGCTGGAGCTGACTGATGGGAGCTCACCCCATCTTGTGGATTTGAACCACCAACCTTCAGGTCAGCAGTTCAGCTGGCAAAAGGATTTAACGCATTGTGCCACTGCAGCTCGTAATAATAATAATAATAATAATAATAATAATTCATTATTATTATTATTATTATTATTATTATTATTATTATTATTATTATTTAACTGGCTCTCCTCGAGGTACCAAAACCACCAACTTAAAAACTATAGGTTGGTGGTTCCGGTACCTTTTGTTATCAGCCATAACAAAAGATATAGGTTGGTGGTTTGGGTACCTCGAAGAGAAGAAGGTAATAAATACATTATTATTATTATTATTATTATTATTATTATTATTATTATATTATTATTATTATTATTATTATTATTATTATTATTATTATTATTATGTTAGGCATGCAGTCATACCAGCCACATGACCTTGGAGGTATCTACGGACAACGCCGGCTTTTCGGCTTAGAAATGGGGATGAGCACCACACCCCAAAGTCAGACACGACTGGACTTCATGTCAGGGAAAAACCTTTACATTTTTTATTATTATGTCAGACAACACAGAGAAGCCATTCAAATCCACAAGCATGTGGACAATTTCAACAGAAAGAAGGAAACCATGACAAAAAAAAAAAACCCTCTAAAATCATAGCAGTAAATAAAGAGCAACACTCCAAAACAGGGGAATTCCAGACAAAAAAAATCAGGGCCAACTAATCACCTCCCAACAAAGGATTCCCCCAGGCAGTAAGAAGCCACACTTTGAAAACTCCTAAGGCATTAAATGCTAATCAAGGTGGCCAATTCCTACATTCACATCTATCTCAGACAGACAAGAGTTCTTTCTCCCACCCTGGACATTTCACAGATATATAAACTCAATTTTCCTAGTTTCCAACAGACATCACAATCTCTGAGGACGCCTGCCATAGATTCAGGCGAAATGTCAGGAGAGAATGCTTCTGGAACATGGCCATACAGCCCGGAAAACTCACAACAACCCAGTGATTCTGGCCACGAAAGCCTTCGACAATTTATTATTATTATTATTATTATTATTATTATTATTATTATTATTATTATTATTCCTAACTTTGGAGATGTCTAGTGTACAGTTTTATCCACCTGGATAGAGAGTGATTGGCCAAGAGTGAATAAGGATCTGAACCTGGGCCTCCATGGTCTCCATATTCCAAAAGGGTTTGTGGATATCATTCTGTACCTTCAAACCCTAGAATGAATGCAGCTCGACACCACTTGAACAACCATGGCTCAATGCTATGGAATCACCAGAGTTGTAGTTTAGTGCAGCACCAGGGTTTTTTTGGCAGAGATAGGCTAAAGACCTTGTCAAACTAAAACTCCCATGATTCTATCGCATTGAGCCATGGCATGCAGTCTATAGTATAGACACAGGGGTCGGGACCCCTGTGGGTGGGTCATTGGGGAGTGTCAGAGGGGTCACCAAAGACTATCAGAAAGCACAGTATTTTCTGTTGGTCTTTGGGAAGTTTGGCCCAATTCTATCATTGGTGGAGTTCAGAATGCTCTTTGATTGTAGGTGAACTATAAATCCCAGCAACTACAGCTCCTAAATGTCAAGGTCTATTTTCCCTAAACTACACCAGTGTTCACATTTGGGTATACTGACTGATCCTGCCAAGTTTAGTCCAGATCCTTCATTGTTTGTGTCCACAGTGCTCACTGGATATAGCTGAACTACAACTCCAAAACCAAGGTCAATACCCACCAAACCCTTCTAGTGTTTTCTGTTGGTCATGGGATTTCTGTGTGGGAAGTTTGGTTCAATTCCATCATTGGTGGAGTTCAGAATGCTCTTTGAGGGTAGGAGAACTATAAATCCCAGCAACTGCAACTCTCAAATGTCAAGGTCTATTTTCCACCGGTGTTCGCATTTGGGCATATTGAGTATTCATGTCAAGTTTGGTCCAGATCCATCATTGTTTGAGTTCGCAGTACTCTCTGGATATAGGTGAACTACAACTCCCAAACTCAAGGGATATAGGTGAACTACAACTCCCAAACTCAAGGGCAATTTCCACAAACCCTTCCAGTATTTTCTGTTGGTTATGGGAGTTGTGTGGCAAGTTTGGTTCAATTTCATCATTGGTGGAGTTCAGAATGCCAAGTTTGGTTCAGTTCCTTCATTGGTGAAGTTCACAGTGCTCTCTGGATGTAGGTGAACTACAACTCCCAAACTCCAGGTCAATGCCCACTAAACCCTTCCAGTATTTTTTGTTGGTTATGGGAGAACTGTGTGCCAAGTTTGGTTCAATTCCATCATTGGTGGAGTTCAGAATGCTCTTTGATTGTAGGTAAACTATAAATCTCAGCAACTGCGCCTCCAAAATGACAAAATCAACCCCCCCCCCCCCAACCCCACCAGTATTCAAATTTGGCATATCGGTATTTGTGCCAAATTTGGTCCAGTGAATGAAAAAACATAGAATCATAAATCAAAGAGTTGGAAGAGACCTCATGGGCCATCCAGTCCAACCCCTCTGCCAAGAAGCAGGAATATTGCATTCAAATCACCCCTGACAGATGGCCATCCAGCCTCTGTTTAAAAGCTTCCAAAGAAGGAGCCTCCACCACACTCCGGGGCAGAGAGTTCCACTGCTGAAC